CATACGCCAGTCTTGGATCTCGAAAGCGGGTGTCTTTGGCTTCCCCGTTGTCTCATGTCGCTTATCGGTATAGTACATGTACCAGCTCTGTGCACGGTTAGCGACATCCCAGCCAAGCCAGAGACACGGTTCAACGTACATTTGCAAGCTGAGAGATTACTTCCTCGGACTGGTAATGGTCCTCGAACCCATGCCTGGCACCCCAGTCATGGTATTCTTCATCCACCTGTTCGACGGGGCTTTCCCTCTCCAACCGCAGTCCGTGTTCGCTCTTGGATCGCAGTAATGGTGGCTTGGCCGGTCGGGCGACAGGTACATGATCGTCATCATCCGATTGCCCACCATGCAAGGTGGTTCCAGGAGATGTTTGGTTATTGTCGTCGGGGGCGCTTGAGGGGCGTCGAAACATGGGCGCTGGTGAAGAATCGGACATGCGTCTCTGTATGTTGAATCGAAGTGGCAGCTGGTTATGGGCAGCAGGATGAGAGGTCCCGTCTGTCACGACGCGCTGGTTGCCATCTTCTGGTCTCTGAGGATGGACTTGTGACATTGTTACTGAACTTTGGCGGGCCGGATTGTTCATTGTGTGGCGGGATGGAGATGAAGCAGTTGATGCTGACGAAGGGCCGGGCCTCGCGTAACGGCCAGAATCGGGAGTGGGAGCTGAGGGCTGTCTCTGGCCAAATTCTGCGGAACCGGGGTGGGAGGCGTGAAGAGAAACGGCAGTCATGGTACGCGGCTAGAAGAAAGCGTGGATCATGGTCCCCGGGGGGTAGAGTCGGGTTTTCGAGGCCGCGACGAGGCCGGGTACGGGTGTGTAGTAGAGGATGAGTCGAGAACAGAGCAGCGGTGTAACAGTCTGTAAAACAGCGAGCGCTTGGTGATTCGAAGGTGGTGTCGGCGGCCCAGGTTGATGGGCTTTAATAGGCGACACAACCAAAGCTGTATGTCCTGCAGAGGTGATGACGATCTGAAGGTAGGGACGGAAACGCAAAGGTCGGATGGCGCGTGGGGTAAGATGGAGTGTAGTTGACTTTTTGTCTGTAACGAGAATGCGTATCTGACTAAGGTAGCCAGTCGGTGGTGGTAGCCGGTGGTGGTAGTGGTGCTGTCGTGACCGTCGTTGGATGATGCCGGTCTCTATGCTGTAGGTTTGAGAGATGGGATTGGGTCAGTCTAGACTTCTCTCAGAGGCAGCTCCGCGCAGGTCATGGATTTGGTAGGTGAAATACGCTTCCACTTGTGTAACTTGGGCCTACCAATTGTCACTGCCAGCGAATTGCCTGTGTCTCCTCTGGTACCCAGGTGTTGCATATAGCAGTTGGTCAGACCCGGGAGGATACGAAACAAACACCTAACCGCCGTGTTGAACTGACAATGGACGTGATGATATCAGCAGAGGGAAACCGCTCCCGTCGTGTGTTGTCGTTGTGGTGGCCCTGGTGGGTGGTGGTGGGTTGATGCGGGCCGTGGAGACTTGGATGTGGAGGCGCTGTGGATGTACACTCGTCTTTTGGGACTGAAGCGCTTGGGTACGAGTCGGTTCTGCGGCCTGCCCCTCGAGAGGTGAAAACAGTGGAGGGTAGGCAGGCTGAATGGTGTCGGGCGTTTCTTTCCGCCCGACCCGTCACGGTGTCACCACAGAGAGGACGGGAAGGAAGCATTGAACGCACATGATGATGCGGTGCACATGGTGGTCTATGCTTTCAGCCTCACTTCCGTGGGTGGTAGCTGCACCGCAAAGTTACCATTCTTCGTGTGTGTCAGTTGGGACTTCCCGTTCACCATCAGATAATAAATGATATTGCCCCGGCCGAGTTGACGGTTCGGAACTCGTACTTGAGGATTGCTTCAAAACTTATCACAAAACCATGCGCCGCCTCCGTCTAGATACCATTGCTGTGGTTAGCTAACTAAATCTTTATATGCCGACTGCGCAGGACTGATTATCACCATTTGGTAGCTTTTGCGAACATATTCTCATATCTGTTGGCATATTTTCAACGCACGAACCACAAGTATGACATGAGATAACCTTTCAACAGTCCTCTCAACCCGAAATCGGTAAAGCTCACTCAACGGCAACCCACGCTGCCACGGTATTTGCTAGGATACCAGCAATCCCGAATGGGTCGGGTCGCCGGCAGACGCCAAAGCCATAGCGATGGTTCCTGTCTTCCTGCTCACCTGCCTTTTGTCTTTGGCGTAAACAACTCCGTCCGTATAGACCAACTTATGTTTTGCCCAAAGATGGTTGACCAGACGGGAGGGGCCGCAGTGGCATTTACATCTGAATATTACCTAGGTATTCAACGGAATCAACATTGATCTTATTGGCTGTAGGAAACCGTCCAAGTTGCATTGATCGTAACTTCATGCTTCCTTTCCACTTTCCATAAACGCCAATTTCAAGAAATATCGGGTGGAACCCCGGGCCATCGGGGATCACTGGAGAAGGGGTCTGTGCGCTCCGGCCCTTTGCCGCGGAGCTTCACGTGAAAATGTCCGGAACGGGAGCCGACCACCTTGAGGGCACCCGCTCCGACAAAGATGAAGCGAATTTCTGCCTTCTACATCTACCAGACTACCGCTAAAAAGCTCGCCTATCAATACGGTAATCTCCTTGGAGACACCTCACTGCACCCGTATATACCAGGTCCGGGTGCATGTCGATTTGTTCTCCGCATCGGCATCAACTCTTCCGGCCCCTGAAGCTTGGATTGGAGATGCTTACAGGAAGCGAGTGCGGGATGGTCTGTGCGCGGTAATAAGAAACATGAAACAACCAACGTTGGTCCCACGCTACCCTGCCTACCTGCTAGGTCTGAGATGTGACCCCAGAGGCTGAGGTCCAAGCATGGCTGCAAAGGACTCGAATGCTTCCATGTACGTTTGGTGTTGCTTCGAACACCATACATATCCGAGCTGGTGGCGGTGTCGAAGCGGGTTGCCGCGTTTGTGTTTCCGCTGCTTGGTAAACTTCCTTGTAGGCACTCAAGACCGGGCAAGAGAATATACAAGTTTTTGGCCGCATGGCTGTCGGAATTCGATCTCATCATCGGCTAGGAATACGATATGGTTCTGCATTGTTCCAACCGCCTAACACCATCTTCAAGTAGGGCGTGTGGTGATGCTAGAAAGCTCGTGAAAGATACAACGCCATTGGGCTTTGAAACATCGTAGTGCTTTTCGACGGCGGATGTCTGGACTTTTATTGGGTGTCCTTCCATTCCAAAAGCCCGGCTGAGGTGTGGTGAGAAAGTGTTCAACATGCTAAACTGACCAAGCTGGGGACGGGATTTGGAGGTTGCAACGTAACCCCGCAGATCTTTTCCCCGTGAGAGAGAGGAAAAGTATGACAGAATGTGGTAATGAAAGCGCCCATGTTGCCCTCATCTGACTATGCATGTTCAGCATAAGAGTTAGTATACTTTACCATGTCAAACTATTAGTGATGGAAGAATGTTGGAGATGAACAGAAGAATGAAAGTTGCAGATAGATACCTCTACATGCCTACCTCTTAGATATGTAATTACGCGTTTGCTACTTTAGGAGAAGGCCGAAATTGTTAAGGGTAGCAAAGTGGAAGTGAAAGTTGCTTGCATCAGTGGGACTCCAACAACAGTGTCCGGGAACCCCCCCTGAACCCCTTTGTTCTCTTTCTTCCATGAGATCTCCGCTTCTTCGCTGGAGGCTGCAGTTCCCATACTTTCCATTGGAAGCCTTTTGATGGACGCTTTGTGAAAGGGTGCTAGGGTACGGCATAGGGTCAGGTCAGATTCCCCATCTCAGAATCGATGTTCTGGCGGGATGGACGGCCGTTCACACGGGCTGCAGCATGCATCTTCCACTTGCTGCCGGGCTGCGCTAACATCTTGTCCTTCAGGTACGGATCATGTACATGCAGGTGTAATAGTGCTGTAAGTCGATGCAGCTCCGTCGCCTGGGTTGCTGTTTCCAAACATCACATCATGTTGGGTTAGTTTGTGCATCACTCTTGCAAGTGGAAGACATTGCCTCGCGTTCTTCTCGTTCTAAACTAAGTGGAAAAGTGTTCCTCTTGTTGGTTATCCATCCACATCTTGTTGGTGCTTGGCATTTTCTCCATTATCACGGTATTTCTTTTCATCATCTCAATCAATAACAGACGCCCTTCTCTCTTTTCGGGCGGCGCGTGCGTGCCCGCCGAATGCTGACAGGGACCCCCTCCCCCGGCCCCTAAAAGGGGAACCTGGAAGAGACTGGGACCCGACAAAGAAGCAAGGCTCTACTTTTGCTGCGTTTTACAGTACGTCGTAGTGCCATCTTTTTACAACTTTGCTAGCATTTGTTAATTGCCAACAACCTAGCAGGGCAATCCAGCAGTATTCAGGGCCCCCCATCATCCCCGTCATTCAATTCAGCAGAAATTCGATCGCTTGCTTCCCCC